CGTTGCTGAAGAATGAAATGAGAAATCATCAATGATTCTTGAGTTATAACTGAAAAACTAAGCAAACAAACATCAAGATAAGGCAAGAAATATAAACGGTCATAAAAAAAAATTTGAGCTGAGAACGCCAAATCCATGTAGTGATGTATGCGGATGACACCTCCATCGCTGTTGCTGCTCGTGATCCGGAGGAGCTTGCTGATAGAGTGAAGAATGTAATGGAACATTTCACGAATAATAATAAATTAACTTTCATGTTCGTCGTTCCCTTACCGTTAAAAGTTTTACAGGGTTCTCTTTACAAAATCAAACAAGCTTCTTAGGTTTGACTGTTGACGACGGTGTGACTTTTGAACCGCATATAGACAACGTACGCAAAAACTTAATTCATCTTATTTTACATTACTAAAGCTTAGATCGTCTCTGGACAGGCAATCACTCTTGAATGCTTACTATGCTTTATGTTATTCCCACCTATCGTCTGGGTCACAACAATCTTTTGTGGAGCAGGGGTACAGAATGGCGTCGTGTATTTGTTGCTCAGAAGCGAATAATTAGATTAATCTTCGGATTGCAAAGTGGCGACTTTTGTAGAGAGGTTTTTAAGACCCATTCTTGCATTTACATTCTTAAGGCAGTGGTATACATCAACACCAACCGCAATAGATTACCAAACTATATAAGTCAATACGAAATGAGACACCTTGAATTGCCATTGCTTCAGCACCGCACATCGTTTTTTGAGAAAAGCCCGCAATATGATTTTGTTAAATTGTTTAATAATAATAATAATAGTAAGCTTTATTTCCATCTTTGCAAAAATGCACAGAAAACGTCAAATAAAATTCAAACAGTCTGATTTAATCTACTGTAATGGTTCCAGAAAAAAAATCATTTATCGAATACAAGTTTCGTTCTAAAAGATGTTGTTTGAGATAGCTTTTGAATCCCGTGGATGGCTTTATTTTCAAACTATTAGGTAGATGGTTGAAGATCTTAACACAAAAATGAACAGTACTTTTTTGTATCTCAGTATACTGCGTTTTTGGTGGAACTAAATAGACATTTTCTACTCCACGTGTAACATAACAGTGTTGTTCATATTTTTTAAAGAAAGTATAGTTACTTTTTATAAACATTGCGGATTCAAGAATCACTAGCGACGGCATTGTCAGAATTTTATAATATTTAAAAAAGGGTTTACACGATTCCCTCATTTGAAGTCTGAAAACTGCTCTCAAACATTTCTTCTGCGCTATGAAAATGCGACTTAAATCAACCGAATAACCCCAGAAAATGAGCCCATACCGCAGTCGCGACTCAACACACGCGTAATACGCACTTGTAGCCGCTTGCACTGAAACTACCCGCGAAATAGTTCTCAACGCATAGCACGCCCAATTTATCTTGATAGCTAAATCGTTAATATGCTGTTTCCATGAAAGATTCACATCAATTTTAACACCTAAGAACATCACCTCTTCTGCACGGGTAAGTTGTTTGCCATTGAATTGCAAATTGATGTCACAGTTGGTCGCTGCAGCACTCCCAATCATCATAATGTTTGTTTTTTCAATACTAAGTTGAAGGTTGTTGTTAGAAAACCAGTTATACAGTAAACTGAGGTTATTTTGTATTTGTGCTGACAATTGTTGTTGCGTTTTCGCAGTTGATACTGTAGTAGAGTCATCCGCGAATAATATTAGTAAATCATCAATTACTCCAGGAAGATCATTGATGTATAAAAGAAATAGAAACGGTCCCAATATCGATCCTTGCGGCACTCCTTGTAGAACCCGTACCGATTTTGATGCTAGTTCATTTCCCTTTTGATCATAAGCGATAACACACTGTTCCCTGTCTGAGAGGTAAGATCTGAACCACTCTAGCGCAATACCTCGAATTCCCATTGCTTCCATCTTCATTAAAAGGGTGTCGTGATGAACACTATCAAACGCTTTGGTTAGATACATCATTATGCAACCGGTAAGTTCGTTATTGTTTATTCCAGTTAGAATTTTTTCCATCAACTGAAAAATTGCTCTGGTTGTAGATCTACCCTTAATATAGCCATTTTGTGACTCATTCAGTATTTGACTTTTGTAAATGTAGCTTTTAAGTCTCATCAGTACTATCTTTTCAAAAACCTTCGCAACATTAGGTATTAAAGCGATTGACCTATAATTCGAAAAGTCTGATAATAGGTTGCCAGCTTCCATAAAAAATATTACCACACAATATTTTTAAGAACATAGTTAAGAATCATCAATGATTCTTGAGTTATAACTGAAAAACTAAGCAAACAAACATCAAGATAAGGAAAGAAATATAAACGGTCATAAAAAAAAATTTGGGCTGAGAACGTAAAATCCTTTGGAGGTTTTACTATATTGACTTAGTACTTTCACCCTGACTTCAAATTTTTCACCCCCCAGAATGGCTGTTGCACTGTGTAATTAACCCAGATATGCCCACCGTACTACATATAGTACACGCAAATACATGTCTCAACGTGTCCGCACATGAGTTTAAGTGGCATTTCGGGTGCACACAGGCATTCAGTAAGAAATATATACCTCTTATTTTTTCTATTATTCTAGAGGTTTTTCGTTAAACGAGGCTTTGGCAATGTTAGAAGATGACGACGAACTGGCAGAAAACGTCGATTCTTTGACCATTTTTCCACCAGAGAATGCTTGCGGAGATCAAACCAATGAAGATTCTGGAGAGGAGGATGTCATAAATCTAAATAATTTACCTGGACCACAACTTCAAGCTCCAGCTGAAATAAACTTCCGAAATATTGACTGCCAGAATCAAAATCAAAAGAATGATGACGATTTTTCTTCAGACGACAAAATTCCTCTTTCAGCCTTGAGGGTAAAGAAAGCAAGGGTAGAAAACAATACGAAAAAAAGGAAAAGTTATTAATGAACGGATAACGACTTGGAGCCTAATAATATAATTTTTAATGGCCAAGTAGATGAAAATGATAACGATATAAGTCCTTTGGAGCTATTCTTTGATGATGAAATACTGGATCTAACAGTAATCGTTATGCAAATCAGAAGAATCACCACCTAAGAATGGAGAAAACAGAAATAAAAGCATTCATAGGTGTACTATTACTTAGTGGATACATGCAAGTACCAAGAAGGAGAATGTACTCGGAGTATGAAAGAGACAGTAAAATGTGTTGGTGTCTGAAACAATAAGTCGAAATAATTTTGAATATATTATGTCCCATTTTCATCTTGCAGATACTACTAAAATAGAAGCATGAGACAAATTCGCAAAGGTGAGGCCTTTATTCCAACATCTGAATAAAAAATTTTTAGAAAATAGTATATACGAGAAGATGCATTGCGTTGATGAAGCCATGGTACCATACTTTGGTCGTCATATAAATATACAGATATAAACTGTGGGTAGGGGCCACGCGACTGGGCTATGTCAACTGGTTCGAGTCGTACCAAGGCGCGTCAACAAATATCAGCACTAAGTATAGTGCATATAGTGCAGGGCCTGCTGTTGTTTTAGAATATGCCGACGTTTTGAAGAAAAAATGGCCTAATGAACCAATACACTTTTTTTTACAACTTCTTTTCCATCTTGCCGCTATTGGATCTTCTATCCAATAAAAATTTGAGAGGCACAGGCACCATTCGTGAAAACCGTATACCAGCTAGTCCTCTGATGGATTTTAAAAAATTGAGGAAGGGGCCAGGGGGTTGTTCGGTTTCCAAAAAAGTTGATGGCCAAAATATAATTGTTGTAAAATGGCATGACATTTTATTCATTCTGCAAAAAGATTTTCTCGAAAAGAAAAGAAAGTTATTCAGGTAACTCAGCCACATTTAATCAATTTATACAACACGAATATGGGAGGTGTCGACAGATGTGATCAAAATTTGAGCCTTTATCGTATATATGTTAAAGGGCAAAAATGGTATTTTCCTCTTATAGCGCGTTGTATTGACATGTCAGTCCACAACGCCTGGCAACTACATAGGAGAAGTGGTGGAGCACTAGATCAGCTAACATTTAGAAGAAGAATTGCCACCACACTGCTATTGCAGAATAAAAAACAAACGACTTCAAGAGAACATACGTTACGTAATGAAGGTATAGATATTCGTTTTGATCACAGGGACCACTACGTCATACCTCAAGATAAGCAGACTAGATGTGTCCATTGTCATCAGAAGACCACCACTAGATGTTTGAAGTGTGAAAAGGGTCTACACGTGAAGTGTTTCCTTTCATATCATACACAAACTAACGCCCACCGTTCTATATATAGTACGGCTTGAATTTTGTGTTTTTCAAAATAAATTTTTAATTTGCTTTACAAAATTTGTTTATGTATAGCTTAAATACTAACCTCTCAGAACATCTACTCATAAACAACCACCAAATTTGTATGGGCATATCTGGGTTAATGTATGTGTATGTTAATTTTCAAAATTCATTAACTATGAAAATCTTCCAAAAAAATGTGAATTTAACTTTTAGTTGTGCGACGAGATTGACAAATAGGTAATGACAGATTTCCAAGAGTTTCGATTTCGGTCCAACATATTTCCACGGGGAGTAGGTCGCGAGTTGGTGTCCTGTCCAAGGAACGAAGGTGGAGCTAACGAACGAAACGATCCGATCGGAGAGTGTGGCGCGGAACTGCGCGGAGCCCCGTCCGTTGAGAGTGCGGGCAAGCGAGAGGACCTTCATTCATCGTTCTATTAAATCCGTATATGTATGTCGCCCCGTTCGCCTTGTTTTCGTTCGTACAACATACACACGGACACGCACACATACATATACACCAAGTGCCCGAAGAGAGGCATATGCATGCGGCACACCAAGGATGAATGAACGTGGGCACGGGGCCGACGTGGATGGGGGGTACCGCGGGGGCATCTAGCTCTCGAAGGCGAGGCCCCGAACGCACGCGCACTCATAGCGGCCCCCCGATCGCGCTCCCAACCGACACTCTCACACACATACACCTACCATATACACACACATACACCAACACAGACGCAGCACGCTGCTGCTCTGAGAGAACCGCAGAAACGGACGAAGCTCCCGATCCATAGTGTCTCTGTTTCGTCGTCGTGCCCCGTTCGTTTACGTTAGATTTTTTTTTGGCGAGTTCGGAGACGCGCGGATTTCGCCCCTACAATTTATAGTGACATAGAAGAATCCAGTGTGAGGGAACGTAAAGAGTGCCGTTTTGTGTTAAGGGCCCCCGCGAACAGGAAGGCGCGTTCACACCGAAATGGCTGCCGAGACGGCGGTCTCTTTAATAAAATCCCCTGTGCAAGACGCAACCCACATCACACAGTTGCGGAGTTAACTCTCTTTTGACCGGCGGACATCAACAACAACGTGGAAGAAATACAATTTATTAAACAGAATTATAGGAAAACTAAAAATCAGCTGTGGTGTGTGTTTTTAAGAAAAAAAATTGTTTTCAATTTTCAACAACCAACACAACCCAATAACCCATTTCATTTCTTTGTTTTTATATGGTTCTTCTGGAATACTCAATCAACTAAGGTAAGCGAAAAAGAATTTATCAACAATAAAAAAACTTTTCATTATTACAACAAATCGGAGTGTAAATATTTTTTTTAACCCACAAGTTCGTTAACCCAACCACGTCTTTGAACGTACAGAGTCTGCCTCGTCTCTTTCGAGAATCTTAAGACTCGTAGAAGAATCATTCTTGTTGTTGCAAGAAAAGAAAAACGCCGATCTTATGTTAAATGGCCAGTTTCCGGTGGCCCCCTTTATCTCTCCTCGCTCTTGTACCAACGCTATTTTTAGGACCGGTCTTTTCTCCCGTCGTCGTCGTCGTCGTCGACTCCTCTCTCGGTATCAATGAAACCAAATGACGCAACGGTTTGAGCAGGTGCCAAAAGAGTAAAACTTCTTCGAGTAACTTTTAAAATCAAAAATTTCTTTTTTGTAACAGTTTCAAAATCGTATATTTTGAAAATTTGTAAATGATCGTTGATGAATCGTGTTTATTATTCATGATAATCGCGTGTGATGACCTTTAATATTTAAAATTAACGGTCATGTAAGGAGATATTAGATAGAAAAACACTGAGCGAGCGTTTTTACAGATAAATCCGTGTGCAGAATATTCATATATGAAAGAGTGAATAATTAATATCTTTTTTGATTGGGAAACTTTAAATGATATGGTGATATTTTTGAATAATTCAAAAACATATCTTTAAACCTTAATTAGGTTATTTTAATCTTTAAACTACTTCCAAAGATTTCATTTGGAATTTTTTAAGTGTTTTTAATCGATGTATTAAGTTCTTTTTTTGCGTTATGTAAATAGTGAAAGTACAAATAATCGATTTTATAAGGTTCTTTTAAATATTAATGTTGGCAACATTTTAAGCTAATAAAGAAACATCGTTTATAGGCTATTTTGAATGATTTCGTGGTTATAATATAACTTAACATTCAAAGCAAAATTATCGATTCTGATCTATCTTGAAATTTGTTATGTTAGTAATATATTTTTTTATTTTTAATATTATTATTATAGAAAACATTAAGGTAGGCAAAAGCGCCACCTGTTGAATTCTATTATTAGTAACGTTTAAAAAGATCTCAAAAATCATATTTAAAAGACTGAAATCTCGCCTTTTTATATTAACACAACAGAATGTCCATAAGTAGATTGTTTGCATAGATATCATAAAATTGTGTCCTTTTACGAATTTCCATTCTTGCTGTTCTTATATTTTTGAAGTTTTTTCATTAATTTTCGTAATATTTGAATAATTTTGACTGTTTATTGCATGCTGATGAGCCACTTTGATTATCGGGGGTAACCATTCTGATAAAATGGAACAATCAAAATGATGTAAAGTTAGTCATTATAACATTTTTTAATCATTTGGTGAATGACGTTTGGCCATCATGTTGACTTTATAAGTAACAAAGAAGATGTATGTTAGGCTTTATTCACGCTTTCTGAGAGATTGGTCCAGATAGACGTCTAAGAACTTGAATGCGTTGGTACTGGTTATCATCGTGCAGTCGACTTCCAGATTCACGACACCTACTTGCACTTTCAAGCCCATTTATAATAATAATATAATAATAATAATTTATTCTGCCACAGTGCCACAAAAAGTAGGTGGTAACAAGTCAACACACTTAAATACAAACACAATTAAACTAGTATATACTACACAAACTATGCCCGCTCGGGTACCATAACCAGCCTTAACCCTCAGAGAGGTACTTCCGTAAACTATAAAACACATTCTCAAATAAGAATGTGTTAACTGTGTTCTTAAAAATATTTTTTATGGAAGCTGGCAGCCTATTAAATAATTTAACAAAATTATATTGCGGGCTTTTCTTAAAAAACGATGTGCGGTGCTGAAGCAATGACAATTCAAGGTGTCTCATTTCGTATTGACTTATATAGTTTGTGTATCTATTGCGGTTGGTGTTGATGTATACTACTGCCTTAAGAATGTAAATGCAAGAATGCCGTGGGTCTTAAAAACCTCTCTACAATAGTTGCCACTTTGCAATCCGAAGATTAATCTAATTATTCGCTTCTGAGCAACAAATACACGACGCCATTCTGTACCCCTGCTCCACAAAAGATTGTTGTGACCCAGACGATAGGTGGGAATAACATAAAGCATAGTAAGCATTCAAGAGTGATTGCCTGTCCAGATACGAACATGAAAGTTAATTTATTATCATTCATGAAATGTTCCATTACATTCTTGACTCTATCAGCAAGCTCCTCCGGATCACGAGCAGCAACAGCGATGGAGGTGTCATCCGCATACATCACTACATGTATATCCTCAAAAAACGCGGCAAATCATTTACGAAGATTAGAAAAATTAAGGGTTCCTGTATTGAGCCCTGTGGGACACCATGATCAACATATGACTCCTCCGACGCCGTCCCCGAAATCACTACTTTCAATCTACGACCCGTGACAAAGGAAGTTCAAGTATATTTCCGCGGATTCCAACACTATATAATTTTCGTTCAATGAAGTGAGGAGGCAAAGAATCAAAAGCGCGGCAAAGATCAAAGAAGAGACCAACCACGTAGTCACACCTCATCAAGATGCCGATAAACATAGGAGAAGTAATCGACCGTCGCAGTCTTAGTTGACAATCTTTTTTTAATTATTATTTCAAATATTTTCGAAAAGACGCTGCAAACTGAGATGGGCCTGTAGTTCTCAACGCTTCTCCTTTTTAAAAATAGGAGTCACTTTCGCCACTTTCAATACATCTGGAAAAGAACCTAGTTCAACAGATTGATTCAAAACAATTGTCTCACATAAACTATCATTCACAAATTTAATACATTCGACGGAAACGTCGTCCCAACCCACACTTCTAACGCTTTTCAAATCTCGTATAGCATCAGAAACCTCCACAAGTGTAACCGGAGTAAAATACAAAGAGGAGCCTAGACAGTTACCTACTGTACGCATTTCAGACAACGAAAATCCAACCCAATCCAACCTGCGATCTCACTTGCCACCGTTATAGATCTATCATTTAATAAGATCTTATTATCTTTATGAGATATTGGCTGAGGTTGCTTTCTTTCAAATCCGCTATTATGTTTGGCCAAGACTCCGAGTTAAAGACATTTTCAATGTCCTACAGAATAATAACTTGTCAGAATAGAAATTGTTCTCGTTTTCTATTGCATTTATAATACATTTACTTTTACTGTTACTAAACTGTAACTCTTTATGATTTACTTCTTTTTATCTGCCATGTTTTCGATTAAAACTAGGTTTGCATTCTTCCAGATTTTCGTTTGATCGGTAGACAATTCTTCAGGTTCCTTTCGCTTATTCATACTCAAAGAAGATTTCAAAAAACAGTTTAGAAACCATAATGTTAAGGTTATACTAAAAGTAGCAAAAACAGTTTACACCAGCATAATAACATAAGATACTTTGACATGAGGAAACGCATCAGTATCATCTTAAGAATTGTCCGAGGAATTGAGTTTTAACATTATAAGTCTGCCATCTGTTTACCAATCTATATATTGTATGCTTTGAGCAATTGCAGTAAGTTGAAACTCGTAGCCGTCATAATATGTATATAAAGTGTAACCTAACATGGTCCAAAAATTACTTCATAATTTACTGTTTTTAAAGCTTGTCATAAAGCATAAATAGACGCATTTCAAATACCAACCTCAATGTATCAGTTGGCAGTTTTATTAAAAAATGTCATCCCATCATTTTGCTCTACATCGTGTATGTTGCCAATACTAGTCTTTAGTCTTTGTTTAACTGAGCCATGTCAGCTGATCTATAGCAGTTGCGTTCAATTGGCATTTTGCTGATTATTATCCCAAGGTTTTAGAAAGATGTATGGGGATTAATAAAAAGTAAGGTAATTTCTTATTCCTTCACGGAGTCACTTCTGGTCCATCAGTTGATTATTCATTTATACTTCCTAGTTGCCGACGAAGTAAACATTTCTCCTGTTTGTTCAAGAAGAAAATTATTGTGTGTTTATGGATCCGAAGAGAGCTTGGATGTTTATTGAATTGATGAGTGATAGCTAGTAATTCGTAGTTAAAGCGAAATATGCTATGAGATGTGATGAACTATTGATACGTGATGAATGGGCTAAAAAGATTATTTCCAAAAGAAGTAATTTAGTAATATTAGGATCAGGCCTTAAAATCTTTTTGTTTCTGTTTATGAATAGTTACGCTAAAGGGTACAAAATACTTAATAGAAGAAACTTATGATAAATATAATCTTAATCTAAACGGTGTTTCCATAATTTAAAAAAAAAAGTTGTTTGACTACTTGAGGAATATCTTCACCATTTTTCTTTATGAAGTTCTTTATTACGCTAAGTGTGTTCTATACCGTGATTTACCCAGCTACTTAATGCGAAGGCTTATAGAATATTCAGCCAATTCGTGAACTCTTCGTGTCAATATTAGACGCATGTAAATTTATATTAATGTGGGATCAATTGTAGCGCCTTGGCCGCAAGCGACCTCGACTTCATAAAATTAAATCATTAACTTAGATATTGACGTCCAAATTGATGTATCAGCGACTTGAAATAACCTTAGGGTAGAGAATGAATGATTTAATCCTATTAATAACAATAGATAAAACGTCATTACAAAGTTACGGAACACACTTAGGTTGCTTGTGGCCGAGGCACTGCAATATGTGTTTCGTAACGTTGTATTGATGCATTGGGATCTATTGAGGCGTCTCATTCGCAAGTAGCCTGAGCTTAATCATTCATTTTTCATCATTAAATAAGCCAAAATCGCTTGCGGTCGGTCCAGTCATTGCTTTTGATACTATGTCAGTCTATAAGGAATCCATACATATTGCGGCGCCTCAGCCAAAATTAGGCTAAACATATTGCAAGTCTAAACAAGTTTAAACAAGCAGCCTCGGTATCATAAAACGAATTCGTATTATTCCTCCGCTAAGGTCGCTTGCGGCCGAGGCATTGCATATGTCGCAGGCAAATGGTTGTTTCAGG